ACCCCCAACCCCCCCCCCCTCCCCCCTCCCCACAACCTACTATCGCCATCATGCTCCATCATTTTTTACAAAGCAACAATTAAGCGAGCAAAGCCCCCCCCCAACCCTGCAATGACTAGTATTTGACTACCCCACATCGTACCTTCCCCTTCCACATCTGCCCCGATGTTCGACTGGCAAACGAACCTCCCTCCAAAACTGCGGCCTGGCGAAATCATGCCCTGCCATCAGGTGCGGACTACACAAACACTAGTCTTTGGGTCCTCAACACTCGCGGGTATAAACGAATGTGCTCCCATGATCGCTGATCCTCACAGGACTGGTCATGTATGATCTGCCCTGCAATGGTGGCAGAACGATCGTCCTGTACGAAGCTTCCCCGTGTAGCAAGCCATCAAGTTTGTAATCAAAAGCATTGGTGGAGACACAAAGCTTAATCAAATCCCATAGAGGATCTACCTCGAACGATCCCTTCTCAGGCAGGGCACCTCCATTTTTTTTGACAACAATGGCTACTTCACGGACGCAGTTTCCCACGAAATCGATGAACACGTAGAAACGGGCGTGCTTCACATCGTCACACATGACATCGAAGTGCCTGATCTCACGCCCCGTCACATGTTCTCCCATCACCACCTCCGGAAGGTGTGCGGGGATGATGTCTACCATGTGCACATGCTCCCAACCGACGAAAGTGCGTCCCATGACATCTCCCTCCAATATTGGCAAAGACAGGGTCGTTGTGCAGTCCGTCACCACAACAGATATGGCGCGCCGAACGACCATTGTCTGTCTACGTGTGTGTGTGTGTGTGAGGCTGCCAGCACCACCATGAGCAACTATGAACCTCATACAGTCCGGCAACACAGCAACTCCGCTTGAATGGTATATGGACATAAGGCAAAAAAATCTAGGTTACCGGATGTCCGATCGGAGATGTTTCCCGGAGATGTCTCCGTGGGACGTCCGGTGAGGGAGTTGTCCGTAATCCCGGACAACTCATTTTCTCCAAAATAAATAGCGAAAAAAAACAAAAATTGGGAGGGGCAGTACTACACCAGGGAACCCCATAAAAAACATTTTCAGCTCATTTGGAGCAAAAAAAAATAAAATGCAAAACATGGGGAAATGGGGTTATGGGGGGTTGGGTTGGGGTGCTTGATTGAAATTGACCCCAACAAGATGGACCCTTTTGGTTGAAATTGGCACAGACATCTTTGGCGATTTTTATCTTTTTTTTTGTGGTCTTAAATGACCAAAAAGTTTCTGGCATATACCTCATGTGAGGGAGAACCAACTTTTTTTTTTTTTTTTTTTTTTTTTTTTTTTTTTTTTAAGGGTCGGACATACTGTCTCCGGAGGACGTCTCCCCTGTTGTCCGACCGGACAAGTCGGACATCCGTCCAAGTAAGCAAGAAAAAAAAAAAAAAAAAATTTACACATCCATTCATGTAGTCCATCGTTAGATAACCGGCCTTTCCTTTCAATATCAGCGTTCCGGTTCTCGGCACAAACATTCGGCAATGTCATGGATAACAAACAACCATTTCATATCTAGCGAACCAGGATTTACATACACAAACAAATGCCTCCTCACTGGCTACTGCAAAAGGCATACATGCAATTTCAAAAAACGTTTTGTTGTCTTCATACACTCGGATCGCATTTCCCAATTTGCCACCGTGGACCGTCTGCAAAAGACAAATGCACTGCCAGTGCCGTTCATCAGACATAAGACCCTTCAACCATCCGTTTCAAGCGACGACGACAAATATTATAAAAAAATTATATTTTCAAAATACAACAACACTGCACAAGCTCTTCGAACGCCACCGAGGCATGGCAACATCAGCAAACAACACGAGTCGGCAACAACCATCGCAAACAGAGGAGCGTAAAAGACCATAACCACACTCCCCAAGGACGCATTGTTGAACGCGATCACCATCACTATTCTACAGATTCACAATAAAACACCACTAAACGACAATGACAGAGGCAACACCGCCTCCTGTCTCTACACAACCATTGTTGCACCGCACTGTAGCACGCAAAACGACGACAAACGTCACATCCGTGCCACGAACAACGATCTGCGTACGGAAACACATCACTCCACCTCCAGTTAATCACGCGTGCACGATTCTTCAGCAACGAACGACCGCGTGTGGAACATCGGCGACCGTCTGAGGAACTGCAAGGTGACACTTAGACAAGGCGGCGGCGAATGCCATACGACAACAACGTTGCAGCGTCTGACGTATACACGTGGCGATCAGGATGATCTTGGAGATGTATGGTCGCGCAACGTTAAGATTGTTCACGGATGACTCTTGCAACCTCCATGAGGGCATTGCACATCACGAGGTTCGCCTGGTCGGCCTTCTCATAGTGCTCCCTCTGCACGTCCATCTCCCTCTCAAGAATGTCGGAGTACCTCGAGTCGTCAAAATGGAGCACTGCCTCTTGCTCGTGCTGTCCACCGTCATCGCCATCAGCTTCCCATGTTTGTCCATGATGTCGATGATTGCTTCGAAGGTCTGTTGTCTCTCGTTCTTCTGTTTGCCAGACCCACCCCCACTACCAGAACTGAACATCGAATCCCTCCTCAATCCTTGCTCGTCGACTTGTTCATCCCCGCATCTCTCGCTAGCGACGGATTCGTTCCGAACAGCACTTAGCCCGGACATTTGAACCCCTCCGACCGTGCTTGTGTCCACGAGATTCGTGGGGTGGATAGTGTGATCCCCTTTGACATCACCTTCATCTCCAAATACACATGCCGGTCCATTTGGAAGTCGAACCCACGCTCCTTCCTCTTCGCCGACGCCAGTGCAAGGAAGTCTTGCTTCCCGGATTCTCCCATGAATTTATAGACTGTCTTGAACTGTTGGTAAAGGTTGTCCCATTTTTTTCCTGTAGTCCACCGCCTTCCTGCTTGTCACACCCATCTGCACAAGCCTGTTTTCGATGTCGTCCCACTTCCAAGTCTTCGACTTCATCCGCTCGTAGTTGTGCCCCAAGCCGGCAGGATGCAAATCCTGGTCTCTTTTCGCTCAGACGAGAGCAATCATGTGCTCCACCGTCCAAAAATCCCTACTTTTCGCTCCGTCGACTGCAGCTGTATCCTCTACAACTCTCTTGCCTTGTCTCCCTGCGCGTGGTATCATAACCTTCTCACTGCCTCGGGACCCACCTCTCTTCCTCCCCAACGACAAATCTCAGTCTCGCCGTCGTCGTTTTCGCTGTCCTCACGGTCGTCATCGTTTCCCGAGTAATCATTGCCACCTGCACCATCGCAATCGACGAAGATGTCGTCTCCCCCGAAGTTCATGTTTGCCACCCCTCTCGTGATCATGCCGGAAGTGATCGCTTGCCAAGTTTCTCGTCGATGATCGTCCCAAACCTGCCGACCCGTCACCTCTGTAGCAGAGCAGTCATCGTTGTCTCGTCGTCCGTCGATTGCTTCATTGGGCATCGTCGATCGACAGGCCACCTCGCCCGCTGTCTTCGTCCTTAAAACGACCACGCCTGCAGTGTTCCCTTCCCCGCGCTTTGGCGAAACAATTCCACGTTCATCAGCCAACTCATGAGAACACCTGCCACGGTTATCCGGAAGCCCCCCCGCCCTCACCGAAGACTGTGTGTGCTTGTTGCTTGCAACTGGATTGACGACAACGGTGTGTGTCACATCCGGACCACTGCCAGACCTCGAACCGAAGCTGAGATCGACGAGTCCAGCGTCATAGCCAGTCAGGGTCCGTCTCTCCAACAGCTTTGTGTACATAGGTGTCATCGGCTGTCTATACAACTGGCTCCCCATCCAATCCTGCGTCGAACTGCTGCCCAGAGGAACCGTCGAGGATCGAGGCTCGTCGGCGTCAGCGTCACTTGGAGGCAAAGGAATTCCGTGGGATGGTAGGTGGTTGTACAGCGTCGGGTCGTATGGCCGCCTGCCACCTTCCACACCGCTACATCGCTGCCGTGAAGATCCCACTGCCCCTACCGACAGCGTGCTCTTCATCAAAAGGTTCCCCATCTTCCTCACCTTCTTTGACGTCTGCGCATCGGTCTCCTTTCCGGAATGCACCCGAGGAAGCAGATGTGAAAGACGACAACAACCACTAGCAGCAGAACAATGAGCAGCAGCAGCGGCAGCCTGCGGTACACGTCAGCCATCGACAACACAGCAGCTGAGATAGTGCATGCACTAAGTCTCATGTTGTCGCATTTGCAGCGAGTGACGACACACGGTAATCACGAAGACGCCAAGGAAGCAGATTCATGCAAGGAGCGAGTGGGGGCGAACGGCTACAACATCCGTATTTTCGACTGTTGGGAAGCTCACCCGAATGCCACAAGCCATCGAGGAGCCGGCCGAAGACGTCCTATCGTGGCCACGACCCTACCGACGGGCACCCCAAAGAAGCCAAAGTGCCATGCCACGAATCGTCGCCAACAATAAACTCCAGAGGCCGTTGTCGGACGTATTCGAGGAGGACGACCCACGATGTCTGTCGACGAGGCTGGTGGACCACGACTGGACCACCTTCGGCCTCCAAAATTCCTTCTTCGGTCGATGCCGATGACCCGTCAATCGCAGATCCTCGGGCTCCAAAGGACCTCGCGAGGTCTGTTGGAGCCGATGACGATTTGGCGAGGAAATCCTCGGAGTGTTTTCACTTCTTTTTTTTTCAAAAACGACTTCGAGGACAGGTGGAACGATGCCGAAATCCGTGGAGTCGCGTGCCTAAGGTGTGTCTAACGACACTGTGACGCCCTAACCTCATGCCCAGCGCGACTTCCTGATCGGAGTGGGATGGGGGCCCGAAGTGCGAAAAAGGGGTGTGCCATGGATTTTAGGAAAGTGGGGGTGGAGTCCCAGGTCGGAACTGAGATCTCTGGTGGCAAGTTTAGGGACAACGGTGCAAGATGGTACTGGCGTTTCAGCCTTCGGGGATGAGACTATGGTCTTTGCCAGTTGCGTCGCCGCAGCCGGTCCCTTATCTAGTGGACCGGTGGGACACCATGGCTGTCGTGCTGGGCGAACAGTTGTCGGCGCCGCTCATAACAAGCTTCGGAATCCGACGAGGCTCGCCGTAAGCGGAGGCTGTGTAATCGCTGCTCGGCTTCAGTTCGGGGTCGTCGGATAAATCCCGAAGCCCGGTACGCCTGGTACCGCTGGCACTCTTCACATGATGGGCGGGGCCAATAGTGAGCTATGGAATTCCACGGTACCGCTGTGAGTTGGTGATATGGAAGGAGGAGATGGAAGGGAGGGAAACTGGTATTAATAACGACGAAGCCCAGAGATATGTAATATTGCCTGTTGTCAGTATCTGGATAGTCTAGGCCCCTAGGATCGCTGGTTATGGCCCAGTGGAAATCCCCCGCGCACAGTCGGTCGTTCTCCGTCAGACAGGGGAATTCCGGGTTTCTTAAGTTTCCCCGTCGTTTGAGATGCTCACCTTCCCAGTACTCGCGATACTCTGGGTCCCTCAGGCTCTCACGATCAGTGATCCAAAAGGGAATTTCCACAGCCATATCCGGCTAGTGAATTGGTTTCCCGCATCCTTATGATGGATTCGAGGTCGACTCATGCAGAGTCGTAGACGCGCACGTACGCTGCGACTCGGTTTTCTCGAGATCGCAGTCGTACGTGTGCATGCATATGAGCCAAAGCGAATCAGACTCGGGTTTCTCGTGTCGAGGTAGAGATTGTGTCCTACATGCATGCAACTATGACATCCATACAATTTCGGGTATTACATTCACACCCATGCCATTCATGTGACGAGGGGGGGGGGTAATTACAGTATCTTCGGTGATTTGATGATGATCGTCCGTAGCGAGTATTTTCGATCAGACCCGGGACTATAGCTCGACACAGATGGATACTAGAAAGTGAAGAAATAATCAAGCATGCATCACAAAACAAGATAAGGGAAATCCGAGAAGATTACTCAAAAAAAAAATTCACATCCACGTCATGCATACACACAAAACAAGGCAACAAAGAAAATCCGAAACGATTTGCAAAGAAAGTCCGAAAGGACCGCAACGAGATCGGCCAAAGTAGAAATCAAAATTATACAGATAGTTGGAAGCAGAGACCTCATCCCACACATAGTTGCTCTCTCTCTCTCTCTCTCTCTCTCTCTCTCTCTCTCTCTCTCTCTCTCTCTCTCTCTCTCTCTCTCTCTCTCTCTCTCTCTCTCTCTCTCTCTCTCTCTCTCTCTCTCTCTCTCTCTCTCTCTCTCTCTCTCTCTCTCTCTCTCTCTCTCTCTACATTCCCCGATGTGGGCAGTCCGTCGCCTCGCATCAACACAGAGTTGACACCCCGCTTAGTTCGAGCATGCAAGCCAGGTTCATCCGTGCGCCACAGTCCGTCGCGGCCTCGCACGTCAACCCCGCATACCCGACACCAGCTCGTTGGATCGCCCAACTCTCTCGTCGACTCACCTCTCAAGCTGACTCGTTAACCGACCCTCACTGATCGTGCTAACTCCAAAGTTCATGGAGAGCAAACTAATCGTGCTTGCAAAATTTATAGAATGCATGCTTGCGCGAAAGGTACGGGATTAAGCCCAAGTGGTCAGGAGGAGAAGAGAGGAAGTGCCTACGTCTGCATGGCCAGGCCGCAACGTGGGGGACGTAGCCGCACTCCACGCATCGATCCGGCCATACAGGCGTTCAGGCCAATCAGAAGCAAGACAAAGAAGAAGAAGACGAGGAAATCAAGAAAGGAGAGAGATACAGTTACAATTGCGCCCGCCAAAAATGATAGTTACACAAGATTAAGGGCGCGATCCAGTCACAGCCCAGTTCCTAGCACAACAAGACGTGTGCGAGTGAGAAGCGTGGCGCAGCAAAATTCGGAGTACCTAAATTCCTAGCTTAAGTCCTAATTGCAAGAGGAAATTCCGAAGAACCCAAAAAACATTTCGCGAGCCCGTGGGGCCTTGACGTTAGTTGAAAACTTCAAAAACTACATTCCCGCGCGATGATCGCACCAAAAATTCCCAGTGCTCACAGCAGAACAAGAAAGAAGTCATGGCCACTGTTGTCCGTCGCGCTCGCTAAGGCGTGGTTACCGAATCGTTGGCGCGGGACTTTCCCGACACCGACCCGACAGATTTCCACAGGAAACAAAAGGAAACGAGGGTATCCATGCAATCAGCCCGACCGACCCACCTTCCCACAGCTCCTCCATCCGATCTCGTCCGAGTACCTCCCCTCCGTCATCATCATGCAGAAAGTCGCGCGGCATAGAAAATAGTTCGTCACATATGTGACGCCCAGGGTGTTCCATTCTTGAACAAGCTCCTGCTTGCTCAATCATCAAGCGCCAATCGGTTGTCTGGCGATCAACACAGAGCTTACACGTGCCACTTACCGTGGGATCTAAGTGTTGAAGTCATCCGACGTGGCATATGTGCGCTCAATCCAAAACGTTGTCCGGGAAAGTTAATCTAATTACGGATGGGGGAGGTGATGGATAGACTTGGGGGAGAGGAGGCACGAAGCGATAAATTTCCTCATCACTAGAGGGGAGTGGGACGTAATGAATGGAGCGATGGATGCGGGGAAAGCGAGGGTGCCGACGTTAATGGTGGAGAGGCGAGGTAGTCAGGGTAGAGGGTGCAAAGGGTGTTGCGGATGGCAGCGCAAAAATCGTCATATTCCTCACATGTGGGGATCATGCCCACGATGATGCAATAGCCCTCTATGTTATTATACTCCCGTCAATCCACGCTAAAAAGAAAGACGTGGAGGGGGAAAGAAGTGACGAGCGAGCGAGTATCCGGCTCTCAATACGGAACCACCACGAAAGGAGACTGAGAGAAATTGAGGCGTCATAGCAGAGGGATCAAGAAGCCGGCGCCGCCGAAGAAGTGAATCACCCCCCCAATCCTCCCCAGTTTCACCCGCAGCCCTTCGTCTACGTCGAGATGCGGGCGCTCGTTCTTCGTCCCCGATCATTATCCCGTCGTCCCCGTGACTTCCTCAAAATCCTCACCATCCGACAGCTCCGAGGACGACCCCCGTTCCCTGATGGGTGGCAGTCGTTCCCACTCTCCCTCTTCTACCACCGCTACGCCAGGTCGACTAGGATAAGCTTCGGCTGCTTCACTTCTCCTTCTTTTGGGCCGTACATGCTCGGTCGGGCCCTCGTGCCCTTAGTGGTGATTACTTTTGGAAGTCGATATCTTCCGAGTCCATGCGCGGCTGTCTGTTGGCTCCATCGAGCGACTAGCCAGTGCAAAGAGCTAATGTGACTGTTTCCTAGGCTCCACTGAGCCCTGGCCAAATGCTACGAACGAGCTTTAATGTCTTGAAGTTCTTAGTTTATTGAGCAACGGTCAAACGCATGAGCGAATGTGACCAGGTTTCTAAGCTCCACTTGGTCGTGGCCGAGTGCCGCGAGCAGGCGATATCGTTTTTCACTACCCAGCGAGGGAGTGTCGTGGGGGAGAGCGACTGTCTTCTACCTTGAACAAGCAATGAGTGAAATGGTGGAAGTAAGAGAGGCTGAGAGAGAAAGAGAAAAAAAGAAAAAGAAAGCGGGGGAGAGAGAGACAGGGAGAAAAAGAGAGTAAGAGAGGGGGAATGCGAGAACGAGAAAGAGAAAGAAGGAGAAGGGGGTTTCCCGAAGGGGGGGGAGGCTATAGCCTGTTATAAAAAGGAGAAGTTCGGGGTACCTTGATTGCAACGAGCAAAGAGGCGAAGGACTGGATCGAACTCGTTGAATTTGGCTCCGCGCTGCGGGTTCTTTCTTCAAGGAAGAAGTCTAAAAACGTAGTTTGTCGCTGCGGCTTATCTGGTTTGTCGTGTGTTCGTGCTAATGGTTGTCTAAGTTGGGCGCTGCAGGTTTTTTCTTCAAGGAAAAAGTCTAAAAATGTAGTTTGTCGCTGCAGCTTATCTAGTTTGCCGTGTGTTCAGGCTAATCGTTGTCTAAGTTGGGCACGGCGGGTTCTTTCTTCAAGGAAAAATGGGCGCTGCGAGTTCTTTCTTCAAGGATAAAGTCTAAAAACGTAGTCTATCTCTACGGCTTATCAAGTTTGCCATGTGTTCGGGCTAATG